CTTTAATACATGTGCTTAATTTTCAGTTGAGTAAACATCACTGAAAAAACTATTCAAGTGAGGCACGTGCGTGCTCAGGTTCTTACATTACAAAACATTAAGACAATGATGTGCTAAACCTCAGGCTTACCTGGAAGCAAATGAGAGGCCATACTCAACTATTTTTTTTTTTAAATTGACCAGGTTTTTGGGTTCTCAGAAATTGCTCATGCACACAGGTAGTTACACACAGCATGGGCAGACGACATCAATGGTCCGCAGAGGGACCTGAGTGGGACTAGAAACGCAAACCTTGTGATGCAAGATCCATGAAAATGGTCCAAGCTCCCAGTTCCCTCTAAGCAATGCACATAGTAAACTGCTCTGTAAGAAATCCAAAGACTGAAACCTATTTGCATAAAAATTGCAGTTTCACACAGTTAACAGATTTATCAAGTTAAAGCCATTTTCAGATTATCTGCAGTTGGTGGAAAGGCCCAGCAGCAGAATAATCAATGTTACCTGTGAAGAGCCTGCCCTAAGACACCTTCCTTTCCTGCTGCAGCTTTTTGGGTTTTCAAAGGTACCTTTCTTCTGAGCAGCATCACCTGGCAGCTCTGCGGTAACACAGAGCACCTGGGTGAGTCCCTCTTTGAATAAAGAGGGGAAAGCTTTCTGTTTAGTACGTAGCATTCAAGGGGAACTCCTTTCCAGTGTTTCCTCATGAAAAGTTTTACATTTGAATTTTTTAACCTGAAGACAGTAAATTCTGATCAGTTTTACTCTGCAACATCATTCAATTGTCAAAAATTATTCTTTTCAAAGTGATAAAGTAGATTTACTTGATCACTAACAATTAAACCAATGAGTTGGCCTGCAATGCAAGAAGGATTGAGGGAGTTTTTATTGCTACTTAACTGATTTTTGCTCTAGATGCTCATGCAAAGTAAACAGTGTCATTAAATAAAGATTTGTTTTAAACGCGATCAGTGGGCAATCTGCTTGCTACAATCCTTTCTTCAGACAGGAAAGGCTTCAGGGGAGAGCTTACCGTGATACTAATAGTACTGAGGAGACAGCCTTAAAAAAAAAAAAAACAACCCAGCCAGCTATTGTAGACAATGTGGTTTAAATAATAGGAATTACCTTAAAGGTGTGATGCTAATTCCCTACCATATTTAATTCTGTTTTCTGCTTAAGTCCCATCCATTTTCAGAATGAAGAATTTCTTCTGTCAATGTTCATACTCCTTTTTCTTTTTTTCCGTCCGTGCCTTTTATGCTCCAGTTTAGAATTTAACAGCTGCCGATTTTGAATGCTACAGCTGAAGTTTTAAGCTTTATTTCTGCTGTGGCAACTGATCCCTCTTGCCTTTACCTCTCTATTTCTAGCTGCATGATTTTATTAAACGACAAGCTGTTACTTTGTTTAAGAGCAGAACATAATGCCTCCCTTTGATAAACACAAGGCAAAAAAAAAAAAAACCCTTGCAAAAGCTAAGAGTTGCAAACATCTGAGCTCCTCTTTGTAAAGTTTTCAGAGATAGAGCCATAAATATACAAGGATATTTATCATACTAGATTCTCTGTTATCGCTACCATAATTAAATAAAATAAGTCTATCCAGATTTATATCAGCATAATAAAAAGCAACATTTCATGCTCAGTCGCTTGCATGCTAGAGAAACAACAGGCGTCTTTAAATCCAGAAGATAATGCTTACATAAAGAGTGCAATATTCACTTTAATCACTTCAATTCTAATTTGGGGTCTAAGTTTACTGGCCAGGGTACTAGAGAATGACTGAGGGAGTGGCTTTCAATGATCCAATTTATATCCTATGGTACCTAAATTATTGGGTCAGTTAACAGTATGTGGAAAGAATATGATTTTGATTCACTTTGATTTACTGTTTTCCTCTTCCCCAAATTAGGAGGAAATGGAAATACCACATCTAGTCCTTGAACTACTAAGTATGAATGCGCTGCATGGGATGAACGAAATAGGCACCTTATGGAATTTAATTCCTGGGGTCCTTTCCCCCGCCCCCCACCCCTTTTTTTTTTAAGGCTTTTCTTGAGGGCAGAATTATGAGGGAATGATTTGTATTCTTAGTCCACACCTTCTTACACAGAGAAATAAAATATATTGCCGAATGCTTGATTGATTAAAACTAGTAGTGGAATGAACCAAAAGAAAGTTTTCCAAACAATATAGAAATTAAGGCTTATGAAAAAACCTGACAAGAGGCAGACTGCGCTACGTGTTCAGAATGAAAAGAAAACCAGGGATGCATTGGTATGAGATAATGGATGAAAGATGCTCCTTGCAGCTCACAGCCTTGTATCTCATCTATACCGTGCTCTGCTTCTCCTTTTGGAGTGCAGTAAGAAACAAACTGTTTCTGTAGGTCTTGCAGGATTTTATACAGCATCTGAACTGACGTACTGAAGCTGAAGGTCCATCTGTTCTAATGTCTTGTCTCCTACTGGTTTTGGCTTTTCATGCCTAAATTCTGCTATTGAAATAGACAAGTTTGATAGCGTTGCTTTTCTGGGGAAAAAGTAACTCCTGCGCATCAGATTAAGACTGGAGTAGCAGAAGCCATGGAGTATATGGTGGAGGATGCTAGTAGAGGGGTAGGGGTCGGGCAGATCTGGCAGGAGTGAGGCGGGGCTTCTCATAGCGTTCCTGATTTGAGATGAAGATTTTTTTGGTGTGTGCAGTAGGGTTAAGACTCAAATTACAGCTGCAAGAGCGTCACCTCCCATACTTAAAAACGAGCTGGGATCACGAACCTTGTGAGGACACTGGCACTGAACTCCAGCCACTGAGGGCTGAAGATTTGGAAGTGGAAGAAAAAGCAGTTAGATGCCTGGGGGAGATTTTCTAAGGCTTTAGCGAAGGGAAAGGCGAAGCGAAGCGCTGCAGTCGCCATCAGCAGCTTCCTTACGCTCCTGCTAGGACGCGGTGCTCCAGCCTTTTGAGCGGAGTCACCGGGGGACCAGGTCTCCTGGTCTCCCTCTTGCTCTTGTCCCTCTCTTGGTCTGCGGGGATGGAGCAAGCGCTCCCCGTTTACCGCGCCTCCCACTTGGCGCCCACGGAGGGACGCGAGGGGGTGGGCGCAGCCCCTCCGCGCAAAGCCCAGCACCGGGTGGGCCGGGAGAAGCCTCCCTGCCCCCCTCCGCTCCTCCCTGCCTCCCTCCCTCCCGCCGCGCATCCTCTCCC